TTGTCGGGTTAGACGATTGTCCATTGCCCCGACGAAATTTTACCGTCAGTATCGATCCGGTCGCTTTTCATTGTTCTTGATTAGCGTGACAATCGTTGATCAGTTGCTTCCTCCAAGACGCTTCCACTAAGAGAACTATGAGAGACCGCATTCCGCCAGCTCGTTTGTTTCTTTTTGCGGCGACTGGCCGATATGACGCATGAGTGAATTATCAAGTGCCGCCTGTGATACTCCAGTACATTAACAACATGGGTTTCGCACGACGTAAACCAAATGCAGACGGTGGACGCAGGGGTAATCCGCCGCCGGCGAGAATCCGCCTTATTCAGACTCGCGATATGCGACAGCACGTCGATAAGCGCTACTAACCCGAGACCAAATAATTCGCGCACAATAGAACATCGCGTGCGAAATGGGTGTGTAACTCTTAGCGTGCAAATATTTGTTGACAGGCGCGGGCGCGGGAGCTACTAACCGTCTCTTCGGACATGCTTCTTCTCGAGTTCCGCGATATGCTGCAACGGTTCCACGGAGCGACGCTTCAAATTGCTCTGCTCACAACTCGGCGAGGACCCGACAGGTGAGAGCTGCTGCGGCGAGCCGCCGTTCAGATGTGTCCGATCACCGGCGATCGGCGAGCCCTTCGGCGAGTTGTGCTTTTCTTGCCACAGGGGGTTTTGCGGACTGTGGTATCCCATTGTAGTCTGCAATAGCAATATCACGATTGTCTTTAAAGTCGTCCGAAAAGGACGTAAAATTCTAGGCTTGATAGGAATCGGTAGGTCAAAGGAAGCTGACTCAGATAGCCGAAAAAATAGGGGGTCATTATGAATTTTTTTCAAAGAAAAGAACATAATATAGCGTTTGGACCATACTATTAATCACTGTGTTTTAAGTACGTATAAAAATATATAAAAAAAATTAAATTATTAAATTAAAGTATTCAAAGAAAATTATTTAAAAAGAATTATTTAAAGAAAATTAAAAGAATTATTTAAAGAAAAAATTAAAATCCTGCTCAAATTGTTTTCTGTTAAGTGGAGCGTCGCCTCGAATTGGTGAACAACATTACTGCAAAATTTCCAAAATTAGTATTTTCCCAGGATATTGTATAGAAAAGAAAGAGAAAAAAATAACTTGTAACTTCAAAATGCCATAACAATTTCTGCATATAACAAAGGTTATGAAAGGTTTATCCTCCAGTGCAAATTTTTAATACAGTTTTTAAATTTTCATGTCTTACTTGTTTCACATTATTACACGAGCTATAATGTTGCTCACCAATTAGAAGTACTCGAGAATATCGCATCCAGCACAAAAAACTTGGACGAAATCTCAATTTTTTCAATAGTTTTTGTACTTAAAACAATATGGTAAATAGTTCAAATTCTATACTAATGTCTTTATTTTTTTTTAATTTGTAAAAATCTATTGTTTTTTCATTATAGCCGCAATGAAATTAGAGAACTTTGCACTTGATTTAATTTAAAAGTCAGTGTTATTTTGATATGTTAATTATCATTTAAGCAAAACTCACAAAAAGATAAATACGAGTTAACTCATGGTTGGCGCATAGAACAAAGTTATTTCTTCGCACGTCACCCACGAGATAACTCGAATTTCACAGTCAATGTATGACAAATTAATCAAATCACTAAATTATATATATATATATATATATATATATATATATATATATATATATATATTAAAGGCTCTGAAGGTATACCTAATTACGCCAGCTAATTAAAGGAAAAATAAATTATTAATTAAATCAAACTAATTTTGAATTTGGCAATTAAATTAATTCCGGCAAAAGTGAGAATAGCAAAGATTTTTCACACACATACAAATATTGCCCCAAATTCAAAAAGAAAAAAAGATCAAGATTAATGAGTCTAAGAGAAAAGATTAAATTGGAAGGCATTGTACTTTAAGTGTAATTAGACAGTACACAACGTAAAGTTAAATTTTTTAAGTTTCCCCCGGTATCACAGCTCTTTTATTCTGGTCATGAACGACGAGTATTCCTAAAACGGATCACGCATATGATCACAACGGTGACGACTACTTCACGCACCTGTTGAGGGCCGGTTACGACGTCACACCTGCTCGAACGAGCCGGCGACAGTTGCTCGTACGTCGGAGACGACGTGTTGCTGAACCACATTGTCCCGTTCAGAGTTTCCGGGCCGCCGTCCATGATTAGTTGGAGCTCCATTCGATGGCCTTCAACCTCGGGGTACACGTGATCGCGCCGATTGTCCTCGGGGGTAGTGTGTATCACCTATAGCTTAAACTACGACGCTAACGGACTCGTCTACGGGGGCGGATTTCCGGGCAAGACGAGTATCCACGTTAATCTTAGCTTTCAGATCTATGAAAGGGGTCGATCCTCGATCCCAGGAGCACCTTCTCTTTGCCGACTCGACTCCTCAGAACCCGCTCCTCGTGGATGCGAGAGGGTAAACGCGTTTTTTTTTCCGATTCACGAGAATTACGACTATGAGTTTCGCTATACGACTATACCAAATGTTTCTAGGCTAATCCGTCTCAAGAAGGTTCGAGAAAATTTCGTGGCTGGTACAGCCTCGTGGTACAAGCTTGACCAGAAGCGACGAGTCCGCGCTGATCTCAGATCGACGATTTTCCGTTCCGGGGGTTGCGCTTGTTCCCTTCTGCCCAGCCGCGAAGAGTGCTCATTCCCCTTTCGCGAGTACCTCTCGTATCTATCGTGACAGATGACCGCGCTGTCCTGCTGTGCGCCCACGTGGATACTCCCCCTCCCTCGGCCCGGATCTTCGGTGTGCCCGGAGATGTACGGTGCATCACCCGACCTACGGTGATTCAGGGCCGAGTACGCGCGCTGGCTAGCCTCTCTTAGAACATCACGAAGAAGCTGTTGTACAGTTTCTTGATGCCGGTGGTCTCGCGCTGCCGGTGCGTTTCCAAGAGTGCGCAGCCTCGCGATTTGAGCGACAAAAAACGCGAAAAGACGACGAACGCGTCCTCGAATATCATCGCCACGCCCTGGCTGCAACGCATCTTGTTCCTAGTTGTGTCGGAGACCTGCTGCCGTTTCGGCGGAGAACCTCCTCCTCCTCCTGCGGACAACAGACGCAAGTGATCAAGTAGATGAGTGCAATTAGCTTGGTAACCGAGGCCGTGCGCTTAGACAGCGGCTCCTCTCACATCATGTCCGCCATTCTATCCTGTTTATTCAAATTTAGAAAGAAAAAAACACAATGATTACCCGATGCGTCAACTGCTATTAATCAAAACTGATTGCATTGATATTGTGCTGTGTAGCCATACGTCATTATTGCAAGAAATACTTGTAATTACTCAATACATCGATTGCCATGATCAAGAATCAAGTGTACCATTGAGATTATGGAAAATGATAATAATATAGTATACAGAGTGTCTGAGAGATAATTATTGACATCCGTTGTGTGTGCAAGTAGAATTCATCAAACTAAACATAAAATTTTTCTACTATTTTGTAAACAACCACGTGAAATTTTAAGTTATTAATTGAAGAAGATTGATGAATGATCACGCCCGAGATCAATTGCGTGATACCGTTGTGTACTTGTATATTAGTTCAAACTGAACAAAAAAGTCCTCTACCATTTTGCAATTAATCACGTAGATTTTGAGTTACTAATTAAGGATAATCAAAGTATTATCGCGCACATGTGTTTGATCAGTATTATCTACACACAACGAATGTGTTAATAATTGTCAGACACTTTGTATATTATATATTGTATATTGCAGATCTTAAATATATTTTATCGTAAATAAAAAGGAAAGAAAGAGGAAAAGTGTGACTTATAGCTTGCGCGCGCACGGAAGTGCTGCCATTTTGTTAAATTTCGGCTTTCTGGATATAACAGCTCGTGTAATGATCTGAGACGAATGGGATCAAAAAATTTAAAAATTGTATGAAATTTTCTGAAGCAGCAATCTGAATCTTTTGGATAAATCTTTTGGAAAATTTCCAGAATTAATATTTTCCCCGGAATATTAAATAAAAAAGAAGAATAAAGCAATATTGCGCCCAGCGCAAAGAACCTGGGCGAAATTTCAATCTTTTTAAGTAATGTTTTATACTCAAACCATAATAAATAGTATATGCAAAACTTCACATCAATATCTTTATTAATTTTCGTTTAAATGTGTAAAAACCCTGCTAAAATAAATAGCAAATAATAAACAGAAAACAATTTTTAAGCACAACTTGTGCTTCATCCCATTTTTGGAGAGCATTACGAAATTATTGCACAACATTCTTTTGACTTCTAATTTTAACTTTTGCCGATGTGTGCGTAATAATGATATCTGAATTGCGAAAACAGTTTTTCATACAAAAATCATCATGAGTACACATCAATTCTCAAAAATAACAGACGAATTAGATTATTTGTTTTTTAAAATCACCACCGATGCCTCAATATCGCCAACAAGTATAAATAATGCATAATTCACACAGAGCAGTATAATCTGCGCTTCAAAATGATATTAATGATTCAATTGAATAATGTTTACTCTTGTTGGTCGCCGTTTCTTCGCGGTTAAACGCGCGATGATTAACACTTGTGCGATGTTTTCAGCAAGAAAAAGCTGTCTCTTAACGTTTCCAGGAATCATATCTCTCTCACTACCGCATTACGTCTCAATTTAAGTTATATGACTGGCATGACAGCGCAAGCCCGTGCGTCATGCGATAATCGATTAACTTTTTGCACAATTCGGCCACATCGTACTCACATCAGATTTCCCCGAGAAACTCGCTAAAAACGCGCGCGCAATCCTAGCAAAATTATTGTACAATAGGCGGCGACATTGATCGATAGGCGATGTCTTCTAATGCCTTCTAACAAATAATCCGTCATGTCGAACGATCACGTCGTTTTGTAATCGACGTTTTCTCCGTATATTTATATTTAATAATCCTTAATTTACAATCCTTATGAATATTCTGCTAACCTTCTTCGGTGCGTTTTGCCTTCTCTCCCTGATGTGCTGACTTCCTCGCGTGAAAAGCAACGGGAAGGAGTTCTCGTCTCCGATGAAGAATCGAAGAGAGGAGATGTCAGTCACGCAGAACCGGAAACATTTCCGAGGTAAACAGGTGTCCACGCGACACCTTAATTATTCGATCGAGACCTCGCCTTTCCGTGGGAGACTCGCGCCTCTCCTCGCACTTGGATCTAAGTGGGGCTACGCTGCGACGACTGATCCCGCAATGCCGCAGTTCGACTGGATCGTCGTCCCGAGGATGGACATGCACTTCGCAATGTGAAAAGCCCTCTGCGCGCAGTGGAACCTCTCGTGGCGCTTGTCGTGAGAACTCGAGGGATCGAATGAACGGGCCTTGCTCGGGTCTAGCCTGATTAGGCTCGACGTCGCGAGATTTATTGTTTGATCGCTCTCTAACGACTATGGCTCACACACTGGATAGTGTCTTGGGTATCGGAGGCGCCCTCGCCTAACCGTTATCACCACATTTTCAGGATCCTTCGCTCCATGGTGCCGTCCGAAAGAAAAACCTGATCCCGGAGAGGAAGAACGAGGCCCGTTGTAGTTGACGTCAGTGGCGCGTACCGTTTTGTCTTTCTCTTTCTCAGCCACGTTCCCCGGAATTGTTCTGAAAGCGGCAGAAGGTCTAGGAGAGTCCTTTAGGGCAAGTCTCCCCTAAAGGCGGGACCAAAAGGACTGAGTATCCACCTAGCCGCGATATCTGCCGTGTCTGCTTTTCTCTTATGGCCTCGCCGTGATCGCGCGAGGAGACACTGTCAGAGTCTTTCAAAGAGCAGCAGCCAGTAGATTTGGGCCATTCAGTCGCCGGGAGAGTCGGATGCGATTAGAATTCTCGTCACGCGGACCTCGGAGGTTCACCACGATACCGGAGAGGCGCTTCTTGATTCTCCTGTGTCGGCCAACACTTCCTCGTGATATTGGGGCTCGTTCACTGCGACCCTACTGCTCCTAACACGTGCTACTCTGCGGATCAGCTTGTTGGCTTAGCCTGTCCCAGCGAGTGTTCACTTTGCACGAGCACTAAAGATCCACAAGTGCACGATCCTTCGTTCCCTCAGGCTCACGCGAGGTCCTGGCGAGGAAACACGGCAGAAGTAGCCGAGCACGCTCGGCTAGACGATGGCCGGCGTATTGCTCGATGACTCGAGGTGCCGATGCGAATGTTGGAACGTCCGCGAGTGATTCGCTCCAATCGTGCCTCAAGGAATTAACAGCTTGGCCAATGGGCACCACTCGCGAGGGTCGGCGCTCAATTGAAGCCACTCAGTGCTGATCAACGAGAGACGCGACTCCTTTATCCTCCTCCAGCGTAGTCCCGTGCTGGTGATGTTACGTCACAGGCGAATTCGTTCGTTACCACCTAGCGATCGTCACCTGGATGTCTCGGAGCAGCAGACAGCCTCACGATCGCACCGCGGACGCGTAGGTCGAGTCTCCACCAATTTGTCAGGCCGCAACTCGATGCACGCCGCACGATAGCCTCTCAATTTATCTGCGGAGATGCGCGGCCTCGAACTTATCTTCTGGTTGCAGACGTTGCAGATTCGAAGAGCAGAGCAGCCCCGACGGTTATTTGTTCTACTTATCAGCTGCGACGTCACGGCGCGTTGCTGATCGTCAAAGATGTACGCTTTATCTGACTGCTTTTAATATTATTATTATTATTATTATTATTGTTGTCGTTGTTATTATTGAGTTCTATCTTGGTGAGCCCAGGCTGATCTTGCTCGCGAGGATACCGAGGATCTTCAGATCGCGATGGAGACTCCAGGACGGTAGCGTTGAGCGACGGTCGACGAGCAGTGGTTCGTGAATCGCCGTATTTCGCGACTGGCAGCCGACGACTAAGATCGTCAATGTCGTAGTCCCGCGACAGACGAGTCGCGGGAGTCTGTTTGCCGCACGAATTAATTAGTTTCGAAACGTTATCTCTGATATCGTGGCTTTCCGCGACGCGACGCGACACGACCTCGAGCGCTTCTCCTTCTGTGCGCCGGGAAGAACGGTCCCGCGTCGGTGTTCCTCTTTTGTTCCGCGCGCGTTTCAACGTCGCTGAACGTCACGACGAGGTGCCGATGTGTCTGTGACCGTCGTCGTCGTCGTCAGCCACGTGCCGACTACGTCTCTCCCAGCGATGTTAATTCCCAGCGTTCGGGCACCACCTCGACCTGCACGGCTGTTTGCCGAGCAGATCTAGCGTTGTTTGACTACGCTCTATTGGTCTCGCGATTCACCGCGAAATTTTCCGACCTCGCGCACACTCCTCGGGCGACTTCTGCGTCGACTCGACACGAGGGAAGTCTGAAACAAGAAAAGCGACAGTGATATTCATGATTTCGTTGCTTCGTGGGGGCAATTACACGATAGCGTTTATTTCGTATTTCTGGCGCTTCGTCACATTTTATCCGCGTAATGCCGCGGACACACTTTCCCCGAGACCTTCTCGCAATGATCATCACGATTGGTGGACGCAGATGGCCGACTATGCGCGTAATAGAATAGGCGCGAAAATGACAGATCGCGGAATTATAACAATCACCTAGTCTCTGCAATTATTATTACCATACGCATAATTATAATGAAGATAATGAGCAAACAGGTGCAAGAAGAACAGTCGCCAAGGAATCATCCGTCAACCCCCAGACTTCGCTGTTCGTAAAATTTCCGTCGTCACGATTCGCCGCCTTCCAGCGAACTCTCTTCATCAGCTATTGGGATAAATACGTTATCGTCTTCCTCATCTCGTAATTTACGGTCCGTATTTCATCGCATCCACTTCTTTCTTTTTTGCCTCTTCCTCCGTCTCGCTCCATTCTCGATTCCTTTTATAAACAATCGAGCGTGCTGCGACTCCCCTCCGGAATGGATCAGCTGTAGTCGCGCTGATCGATGTCAATCCGCTGGGTCACCGTCGCGCGTATGTTGTTCGCTTTGTAGCGAACCAAGAAGCGGCCCCTAGAACGCAAACGCACCGTCCAGAATCGAGCGTCTGTATCCTACGGGACTCCTTCTTTCACATAATCCGCAAAGTAATAAATGTCGCATTTTTATGATTACTTCGCAACTCTGTGAATTTAAATTATATTTAAGGATCCTCTCTGGCTATTCGCCGCAACCTTTCGATCTATGACGTCAGAAGCGAGGAAACGGCCCAGAATTCCCGCAAAGTACGTCGAAATGAAAAGATACAATCCTAATTTCGAATTTAATTCTACTTTTGAGTCAAACTTGGTTTATTAATCCTTTCGCATATCTCCAGTATCCATATGTTCCACTTATGAAAGAAATATCATAACTTTAAAAAAAATAGCGTATCCTTATCGACTTCTATCTTGGCTTATTAGAAGAAGATTAAGCCTATATGTAAAAAATTAATATATTTCCAAATTTAATATTTTTGATTAAATACAGTTATATAAAACTTTCCAAAAAATCCAACTTTTAACTGGCAATTAGCAATGTTTCCTCAAAGTTTCTTCATCTCACTTAGCGAATTTATAGAAGAAAGAATCACGTTTTGTTAGCAAATATATTGTTGCTTGTAGAAGTTATATAACTGCATAACTATACATCCACAACCATCGATAGTATCGGTATGGAATAGTAGACTTTAATCTGTAGTCAAAAATGAATGTCTTTCTTGTAGTCACAATCTGAAATCTATCATCTTAAATTTCAATTTTTACATTCTATTTATAATTAGTAATAAAGAAGCTTAATCCAAGCTCATATTTTAAATATATCAACATTCGAGTTTCTCATGGCTGCTATTTTGGGTTCGCCATATATTTTGAATTTAAATTTTAATAGTAAATTTAAAATCAAGAAGAACTTCCATAATCGTTCCAATAAAGAACATACATCTTCTAGGAAAGCCGAAGATACGAAAGGGTTAACCTTACAGCTCAAAAAGTTACACTTTAAACATGAATAAATTTTACTCTCAGCTCATTCTTATTTGTTCATAACTTCCGGAAAAATAATCAAAATTCAATTCTTTTTTCTCAATCAGTATAGAAAACATTGAGGAATACTAATCTTAATGTCTTTACGATTCAGTGAAATTGAAAAAAATTATAATAAAAAAACAAAAAATCAGTTTTGTGAAACACATGTTTTTAAGAACGGTAACGTTTAAAAAGTTCATCTGGATAAATTTCATGTTTAGAGTTCTTAATGTATTTAAAAATTCATATTATAATGAAAACACGGAAAATATTCTTTCATATTCCTTAATACTTTTACAATTATATTCCAAAATTATTTATACCCACAAATATTCTTAATATTTAAGAAAAAATCTAGAATAGAGAGGAGAAAAGTGATTGACACTCTACCAGTTTTCGGTAGTCTTGCACGGATATTATCGAATATTAAGATGTATAAGGATTTAAAATAAAATGAATAAATAAATTATAATTAATAATTAATAAATAATTAATAAATCTCCCCATATATTTTAATATTTAATAAAATCCAAACAACGAATGCCGAAAAGTGGTTTTATTTAAAAGTAGTTTTATAAAATTTATGAAAGTACTAGAAGATCTTGTATACCATTACGCTAGATAAACTAAAACAAAATGAATATAGGCATTATCGATGTAAAACTGGATATCGCATAACCCGCGGGGTTAAACATTTACTGATCCATAATTGGAACTTACGCATAAATGCTTCTAATTGTTTTTTATAGTTTAAAACAAACTGATTTAAAATTTAATAATTTTATTTTATGACTATGATTTATTATTTGTTGCTTGTATTGCTGTAAACAATTTATTATTGCTGTAAATAATTTATTTTTACGTTCGATCTCAACAATTATCGAAAGTTACTCTAACCTTAAATGATCCATAATTATGATACATAATAAATAATAATATAGCATTAATGTGACAAAATAATAAGAGAATATAGGTTAAAATGGAAGGTTACATACTACATTAATTTTACAGTTATCTAGTGATTGTTGGAGCAGAAGGACAGCGTTCAGAGTATTTTAGATATGCACCTAATCGATCGTGTCATTTTTTGGATATATTCTTTCATTTTTCGATGTACTTTGAAGGAATTTCGGGCATACATTTCCTCGCTTCTGATGTCATCAATCAAGAGTTCCGCGGCGAGTAGCCAGGAGCCTTAAAATTGGAAAAAATTAAGATTTGTACTTGAAATTGTCAAACGTGGTACTGGAGATATATTCGCCAACAATCTGATCACTCTACACACACTCATGCACCGCGAATCTTTGAACGTGCTTCACGCAAAGTCCACGGCAAAAGCTTGAACGCGAACGCGCGACGAGACGTGTGCACACGAAAGAATTTCACTGGACAATCTGGAAAACTGAACGAACCGACGATATTTCTTAAGCAACGATTCGTATCGATGCGCCTACTCCGTAATCGTTGTCGACGGAGTGTCGCCTTGCACTTTGCATCCGGCGGACTTTTTCGAGATCAACGACCACCACGAATCGTTCTGCGACTCTCGGCCTTATCATGACGAGCCACGATGTATGGCTCGCAATAAACAAAGTTGTGCATGACGTTTTCCGTTATTTTTTATTGAAAACGCGAAAAGACCCGGATGTGAGTAGATCTACGTGTTCTCGCGGCCTCTCGGAGATCGTCACGTTGCAAATAACACGCAACTAAGAAATCGGTGAAATGACGCGAGCCAAATCTCTAAAGTATAATTAAGATATTCTTCTGAATATCTGAAATATGTTACACTTGTGACTGATTACTCCGTTATAAAACACTGCAATCAATAAAATCTTATTGAAGAGATTATTTAGATCCCTGAACATCATAATGTTACGTAAACCTTAAACATGAATAAATTTTACCCAGCGCATTTTCATTTGCCTATAACTTCCGAAGAAATGATCAAAATTCAATCTTTTTTTTCGATTGGTGTAGAAAACATCGAGGAGTTGAATGAATCTATCAATGCTTTTGCGATTCAATGAAGTTGGAAAAAGTTATGATGAAAAAACAAAACGCATATTTTCATGAACAATAATGCTTGAAACACTAGTCTGAATAAATTTTACCTACGTCGATGATTCTACAGTTAAATTAGTAGTTAAGGTTGCGACTGTTATTGATGCACAGTGCAAATCGCACGTAAATTGCATAGAAATTGTTAATTCCATCGCTACCATGAAGATAAGAAATAACAGAAAGGAGTATAAAGCTTTTTTTAGGTAGTGAGAGTAAGTATGCTATGTGATTGGTTGGCCAAAGTAATATAGCGTTTTGTACTTTATTGTCGCGCTTTGATAGACCAATATGGCGCCTACTGTTCCCCTCTTATGTCTGCTTAGACAGACCAAGTGGGGAATATCCTCCCTTCTGTTATTTCTTACCTCCATAATCGCTACAAACGCAAAAAGTTCGATTTCGTACGGCGCATAACGAATTTGTGTACTACCACAAGTGAAAAAAACGTTCCTATTTTGAAAATATCTTTTATTTTTGACGCGCAAATCTGCGAATAAAATTACATGACGTTAAATGAAGATAAGTTATTTGTGTCAATATTTGTCATATATTTTATATAATATTCAATAAAGAAAAATATATTCTTATTATTGAAAAATAATTTTCAAAAATGGAGAAAGAACAAAAATATTGAATTGAAAATATAATGTTTCTAAATATCTAAATGTCGGGAAAATATAATTACCTCAAATTATTGAGGTAATTATATTATACTTCTTATGTAATTTTTTGTATGTATGTATTATAATATTTAAACAAAATAATGGCGTGCATGCAAAAATGATTGTTAATTTGGATTATATTAGTTTTAAGTGCATACTTAAAACTAATACAATAGTGAACTTCTTTCTATATATTTTGCAGTAAAATTTTATTTCCACTGGCCAGTGAAAATATGTTGAAACAGTAAAGTGAGAGTGTTTCCATTAAATCAATGGCTACTCACTGAATATCGATGAAATATGCTCCATTTACTGTTTCAATACTTTTACTGATTTACTTTAGGTAAGAGCGGAAACAGCTGATGGCATATCAACGAAATGTCACTCAATGTATTTCAGTATTTATTATGATTTATTTGTTATCTATATCTATTATTTCGAGACAAAGGACCTCGGAAATCGCCGTGCGTCTGCTAAAATACCAGCAAACTGAATCGAATGTGAGTTTGACGCGCAAATAGCGAGAAAGCCGAGTCTGCCCGATCTGTTTGCGCTAGCTTATGCAAATCGCGAAAATACAATATTGTCATAATCCGCACAAACTACTTCTGCCTGACGTGCCGATAATTCGGAAATGCGTAATACCCATTTACGGGGAAGGCACGCGCGTTACCTCGTGGCTTCTTAGCCGCTGACGTAAAAACGTCAATCAAGCAAGCATCCTCTTAATTAATTATTGTCACTTTCTAGGGGCCGCGCGCGTCATGTGCTTGCAGGTGTGCTCGCGAAATTGCGCTCAATGAGTCGGATTGTACGGGCGAAGTGACGCGAATCGTCGTTGTTCCCATCGCGGCATCGTACAATTAAGTGCTGGACATCTTTTGCAGCAGTGAGCGACACGTTATCTGAACACGAAGCGTTCGCAGCGACGAATTCGCCGAGTCTATCTCTTTCCTCAATTAGCAAAAGCGTCGCGCTTTGAGAGATAACGAGTGCAGGCCGGGCTGGAAAAAAGGCGCGCGAGAGAAAAATAGCCGGCGAATGAGACCGCGCATCGGTTATCGTCGCGGATGGAAAACGACTATTTGCCGCTGAATTAAATGAGTTGTCGACACAGCGCATCGAAGCGCGAGGCTCGACGACTGCATGCGCGTAAATCACGCCGATGATTTACGATTCGCGCTCGCGCCGCAAACCGTATCGTCGAGTAGCACGAACGTCGACGCTCCGGGCCCGTCTTGCAATCGGCGTTGTCGCACGGAAAAATAAAGTTAGCTATAGCAGCATAAATCTACGTGTGGTTGCTGAGTCTCGTCGTAACATAAGGATACTTAAAAGCATAGCTACATTTAGCTGTAAAATCGACGTAACCGCAGCACAAGTTTTGTCTAAAGCAGCAAAGAGTGCGACCAAATATCGCGCTTTTTCCGTGGAATCTTGTAAAACTCGAAATATTCCAATAAATGATGCATCGATTTAACTTACCTGCTTAGACTCAGTTTAGCTTCAACTTAGAACTCGGTTTAAAAGATTGAGAATCGAGAAGATTAAGAATATAAAATCTCAATATTTTATTCTCGTAGTCGTTTAGAAGATAAACGGTTCAAGGGTTGCAATCTCAATAGTATGGCTGTTTGTTGAGATTGTAACCTTTCGGACCGTTTATCTCCCAAACGATTACAAGAATAATATTTAGACTTTATATTCTTAATCTGCTCGTCCCACGTTTCAAATCATTTATATAGACATAAACTTCAAATCAGTGTATCATTAACTGGAAAATTTAAAATTTTTAAAAGAGGGGCAGAATATGTCCGCGTGGGCCACGCTGTGGCCGCGCTCTTTTTTAGTTACAGCGACAAGTACACTTTCAGCGAACCGTGATTAGCTCTGCGACGATGAAATCTTTTCTTCTCCGTGCGACCGTGAATTTATGAATGCTCGCGAAGAATGTAATCTTCAAGCAACGCCAGTAGCAATCTATCATCGGCAGGTGCTTCATACAAATATCCTTTTTTCTTGGAAGCTTCAATAACAACTTCTCCAACATCTCTTTTAATTCCCCGCAAGAGCTCGCACATTAAGCAGCGAACGGTGGCGCAACTGGCATCGTCGTCAATTAATTTCAATTGCGAATCACAGTATTCAGTCCTCTCCTATCCTCATTTTCTTGAGAGGGTGAAAACTGAGCGATACTTCAGTTGAGGCGCGAGGACCCACCGACTCGAGCCGAAAAACAAGTCTCACCGCGTTGAATGTAACAAAAGATAAAAGAATATACAGAAATGGTTTTCACAATCCCCTCGGGGGGGGGGGAGGGAAGGAGGGAGAGAGTGATGGCACGTCGCGCAGCGTGACAGCAAACACAAGTGTTAATTCGACGTGCACACCAAGAAGCTCGAGCAGATGCGGACGCACATGCACACGCGTCCGGGACGCAGGCGTGCGCGTCAAGGCGTCAAGGTTGCACGTATATACGACGGCCGTAATGGCCTGAACGCACGTCCGCACCACGTGTAAAGTCTTTTGCGCCGTCCTGCTTTCGATTGAAATTATAAAACCGGTTGTGGCGCGCGGCAGTGGTATATCTAAGCTATCGCTGCTCGCGGCGTGTCGACGAGGTGATGAGATTTTCAGGCTGGACCTCCGGAATAATTCGTCTCGCTTAGATCATCGTCCCATCGGGAATGTTGAAAGTATCGATCCGGGAGTAGCATGAATCAAATATCGTCGCGTATGAGAACAAGGGAGTATGCTGCACGGAGCAAACAGATTAGTTCACATGACGGTGCAAATGAACGTGTTTTGGGCGAAGAAAACGGAATTTCTGCTTCTTACGAACGAAATTCGATTCTCAAGGCGATGCTTAATGCTAAGACAGTGTAGTTTCGTAGCTTGCAGTTTCGTTGTTTGTTCTTTTATCTGCTTGCGTAAAATTGCAAATGCTTTTACAGAACGAGAGTATAAATGTCAATGTATTAGAGCATGCAAAAAATATATAAATAAAAGAGTTCTTTTAGATTTTGATACAATATGAGGTACCTTTTAACATATTGACATTTGTTATAAAAATACATACCGCGTTCAAGTAAATGTTTTTAAGTGTTTCATAACTTTATATATCCGTTTATATTTTCATCGTGATCGCTCATCATAAGCGTCAAATTTATTTCTTAAATACATTCTGAATGCTAAGAGGTTTAATATTTCAATGAAGAATGTTAGATTAAAAGAAAAAATCGTTTTGCTTACTTGTATAGGAAATCAACTATTTCTTTGATAAAGTTTTATAATGTTCTTGTGCAGAGAAAAGAAATTCTTCTCTTGAATATGATACATGATAACGAAATTTCCTAAAATTTGTGACAAGTATATTTTAAGACTATTGCCAAAAAAATATTCTTTGTTGAAGATAATCATTAATTAAAAAAAAGAAAGAAAAGAAAGTAAACCGAGTGTTCATTTTTTTGTAGAATGTCTCTTTCCTGTATGTACCTTCACTCTGTACAGGCATCGTAATTCTATAAAAAAAAAAAACAGTGCAAATTGCGTAACTGCATCATCCCCTTAAAAACCATAAATCCCGTTTCCTTCAATCAAAACGCACTCAACCGTGCAATTGTCAGGTTAATCCAACCAGTCTGTTTGCTCTCCGTGCGAAGAATACCGAAGACGTGTTACTCGCCAATCGACCTTTGCCTTAATTAACAAACGAATCTCTTTCGTCTCGGCGGTGCATGCGTATGCGCGATGCCTCGTCAAGTATGACGTAACGCGTCACACGTAAAAATGTGACAATATCTCTCGTATACACGAACAATAACGTATTTCACGAACAAGAAGTCGTTGAGGAACGAACGACGTCGGCAACACAGTCCATCAGCAATTACTCGTCTTCTCTTTTGTACGGCTTCGCGACAGCATCGGCGTCGCCAATTGTTCCCGAAGATTGCGCTGAAAATTGCCCGCACGGTCACACGGGGCGTCGTCGTCCTCCTCAGCGGGCAGGCTCGGATTCAAGCGCTACATCGGCGCGCTTCGATCTCCTCCACTGTACGCCGACACTCCTGCTCCAGGATGCCGCTCCACACGCGATATCGATGATTCAGGCCCGGCGTCGTGTGCAAGACCGCCCTGGAGCCCAGGACGCCGACGCGCGGATTCGTCGCGCCGTAGAAGATCCGCGCGACTCTGGAGTGCAGCAACGCCATGGCGCACAGAGGACACGGCTCCGCCAACAGGAACACCCAGTAACCCGTGCAGAGATACGGCCCGCACTTGTTGGCGCACGGTACGTCGCCTCCTTGTGCTTCCTCCTGCGCGGTCGCGCTCTTCGCGCCGTTGTTCCTCCGTCCTTTCCGCGGCACTTGCGTCTCGAGAGACGTTTGCGGCGGGAACGCTAAAGCGGATAGGGATTTCGGGTAACAGAGCGGCGTGTCCTCCTCGTATCTCCTCTTGATCCTCCTCAGCCGCGTCCTTTGGTTCTCACTTTCGTCCACGTCTTCTCTCGAATCCGCCCGTTGCTTTTCCTCCACATCGCCGACGTCGTTTGCGCGTCTCTTCGCGGCCTCGTCGCGCTCCTCGTCGTCTAAGCGCCACGCGCCGCCGCCGTGAAGTTTCGCGACAAGATCCACCGCCAGCATAGCGGCATGCCACATGGGATGCCGGTCGATCCTCGCGGCGGAAACGACCAAGATCCTGCCGTCTTCGGGATCGACGACCGCCGCGGCGCCGGTACAGCTCTCATCGCCGATCGCCTCAAGCCGCGCAGCTTCTATCACCAGAGACATGATCCCCCCAATCGCGCGTAAGTTCTCCTCGCTGAATACGGAGCCGTCGATTATGCTCTCGATCGCCACGTCGGGGTGAAAGTTC